AAATAGTTGTATCTCGACCAAATATTGTCCTATCCTAACAAACCATACATCAATGGAAAGCTTTCAGGTGATGTATAAATCTCAATTTCGAAAAATTTACCCTTATGACTGGTTTTGTGGTCCAGGGTCACATTTGTTTCTGGGTTTAGATTCAAAATTTTATCAAGATTTACATCATGGACACCAAATGCCATGTGTTCCAACAAAAGGAAGATTTCAAGTAATTATTTTTTTTTTTTGTCCTATGAACCTTGTATGACAAAAAAAACTTGCATGAAGGTTCCTTTTTAATATCTATGTACTGTGATCTCAAACTTCTATAATCCACAGGCTCCTTATCTTCAAATTTCTATTTAGACTGAAAAATCATGAGAAATCTAAACAGAAGAAGTCTTAAGACAGTACTGGGATTCAAATTCCACCCGATTTCAGGTCATGAAATCATTCCTCGACTCAAACCATGCAGCAAACCATCTCCGTCTCTCCGGAGACTTCGATTAGACGCATGCTAAACCTAAGTACGAGGACCTAGCCTAGTGTTAAATTCATTCCTGCACAGTGAGGCAGTTAGCTGTGACATGCTCTCTCTGTCCAGTTGCTGGGCCATTAAAACAGCGGACCCGTGGTGTCTGCTGGGAGAATGGAATAGAGATCACACGTAATGGCCCTGCTCAGACGTGATACCTCCCTCATTAGAATTCCCCCTTCGTAGACCCTCACTTTCTCCTCACTCTCCTTCTTTTTTTTCGCCACAATCTTAAAAGAAAATTAAGACTTAAGTGGTTGCCTGTCAATTAACGCTCCCTGTGCGACAGAGCGGCAAGAATTCGATTGCCAGGAGACGCGAGCCATTACAGCCGAATCGCTCTCCTCTCTTCTCTCTCCTTCTCTTTTTCTTTTGTCTTCCCTGTGTCTCTCTCTGGCCTTGTTTCCATCCGTCTTTACCTCCACTGAGCACTCGGTCTCTCAGTACACTCTGCTCACTTTCATCCTGTATGTTCTTTCCCTCAAATATCTGTCAGGATTTGTTCACCCTCTCGCTTTCTCTCTGTCTTTTTCTTTTTGTGTGTAGCTTTATCCGCCTGTATTTCCATTCAGTGATAAGAGGTATTCATTGATTAATTCCTTACTGAAATGACTATGTAAATGCAGTACTGTATGATACAGTAAATTAAAAAGACCCTGGTCACTGGTATAATGGGTGGAGTTTAATGAAATACAGCAATGATTGTTCCTAGATCTGCTGCCATCTGAAGCTCTGAGACTGACGGGGCATTTAGTGATCTGCCTGGACACCACAGCACCTGTCATGGTGGTCTCTTTCTCTTTCACTCTTTCACCCTTTTTGGTCTCAGTTGAACGGTCCGGCTGCTGTAACAGAATGAGGGACATGAGCTCAGTAACAGAATGGTGAGGGAGAATCCAAGGTGGCTGAACTGGCTAAACATTAAGGTTGAGTCCTAATAAAGGTTAACTTTAAATGTTCAGAAGACGGAAAAATAAATAGATAAACAGAAGGATAGATGGATGGAATGATACATGGATGCTAGATGGATAGACAGACAGACGTAATGACTGATATAAGGATACATAGAATAATAGATAAATAAATGGACAGACAGGTATAAAGATGGATGAATGGATAAACAGAATAATAGAAGGATAGATAGACAGATAGATGGTTGTTATGGGTATACAGGTGGATGGATGGATAGACAATAGATGGATAGAAGGATAGATGGATGGACGATTAGACGGGTAGATATAGATATGAATGGATTGATAGTTGGATGGATAGACAGATGGATAAACTGAATAATAGAAGGGTAGATAGACAGATAAATGGATGTTAGATGTATATACGGATAGATGGATTGAAGGATAGATAGACAGATAGGTAGCTGGTTGTTAGATGGGTATACAGATGGATCGATGGACAGAAGGATGGATAAATGGACAAAATAATAGACAGGTAGATGATAGACAGAGTAATAGATGGTTAGAAAAAGAGAGATTTGGATGGATGGATAAACGGAATAATAGAGGGTCTGATAGACTGATAGCTATGGATGTTAGATGGATAGACAGATGGATGATAGATAGATAGATAGATAGATAGATAGATAGAGGTAGGTAGGTAGGTAGGTAGATAGATAGATAGATAGATAGATGTAACTATAGGATAATGAAAAGAAGGGAAGACAAAAGAAAATATTTTAGAAACAAATCCCTCTGCACATCCCAGGTTTCCATGGCAACGGATGCCGCAGGTCTTGACCTGGACATGCTTTCAGTTGTGTGTGTGTGAGACGGAGAGCGGAGAGCGACATGTGAGAGAACACAGGGTAGGTCCTGGAAGGTATGAGGATCTCTTCCCATATCAGAATTCAGGCCGTGCAGCTGCTGGTGAACATGATCTTTGCTTACAATCCGTCCTGAGTAGGATCTTCTCCATTAAACAACTGCCATTCACCAGAGCCAGTTCACATGCTCTCAGTCTATAGGTTCTTTAAGCATTGATTCAGCTGTGAATTGATTGGCTTGGTGGCGAGTCAGAGCCACCTCTGCAAAGATGGATGACTCATGTGAATCTGAATCACAAGCCTTAATTGACTCTTCCAATCCACACTTGAATCAATACAGAACAAACCAGAACGGTGTGTTTTTCTGTGGTTCTCGCAGAATTAGACACAGCTAACAAAGCATTGACTCCATGGATGGACGGTTGAGCTATTGAGTCCCATATGAAATAAATGGACCTTCACTCTGGTGTTTAGTGAACAGGTGTTCAATGGGCTGAATGCTTGGGCTTTGTGTCCCTGATAAAAATGCATCCTTTACATATGGGCGCTGGTGTGCAGAGAAACTCTAACGGAAAATTGGATGTGAAGAGCTGAAATCAATTTGTCAACACAGACTTGCTTCTGGAAAGATTTTTTCAAGCTTACCTGCACACCTAACTTTTAATTGGGGTAAAATTCCCACTAGGATAAACTGCTCTTTCCTAGTGTGCTCTGAAAGATGTGTGCTAATGAGATGAACCCGTATGACTTTGTACTAACTCAAGGTTTTGCAAAATGCCGAGGAATTGGCTTTTTTTAAATCCACAAGATGGAATTTGAATTTAATTGAATCTAGCATTCTATCCATCCATCCATGATTCTATATATCTTTGTCGTGTGTGTGGCAGAGAGCGACATGTGAGAGAACACAGGGCAGGTCCAGGAAGATATGAGGATCTCTTCTCATATCAGATTGTAGGCCATGCAGCTGCTGGTGAACATGATCTTTGCTCACAATCCGTCCTGAGTAGGATCTTCTCCATAAAACGCCATTCACCAGAGCCAGTTCACATGCTCTCAGTCTATAGGTCCTTTAAGCATTGATTCAGCTGTGAATTGATTGGCTTGGTGGCGAGTCAGAGCCGCCTCTGCAAAGATGGATGACTCATGTGAATCTGAATCACAAGCCTTAATTGACTCTTCCAATCCACACTTGAATCAATACAGAACAAAACAGGGCTTTGCACCCCAAATCTTTTACTAATCAGGTTACATTCAGGATTTTTATTCTAGTCTCAGGTTGGCTTGTAAATCTGGTGTTCCCTCGGTGTGTGTGCATGGTGTGTTTTTCTGTGGTTCTCGCAGCATTAGACACAGCTAACAAAGCATTGATTCCATGGATGGATGGTTGAGCTATTGAGTCCCATATGAAATAAATGGACCTTCACTCTGGTGTTTAGTGAACAGGTGTTCAATGGGCTGAATGCTTGGGCTTTGTGTCCCTGATAAAAATGCATCCTTTACATATGGGCGCTGGTGTGCAGAGCAACTCTAACGGAAAATTGGATGTGAAGAGCTGAAATCAATTTGTCAACACAGACTTGCTTCTGGAAAGATTTTTTCAAGCTTACCTGCACACCTAACTTTTAATTGGGGTAAAATTCCCACTGGGATAAACTGCTCTTTCCTAGTGTGCTCTGAAAGATGTGTGCTAATGAGATGAACCCGTATGACTTTGTACTAACTCAAGGTTTTGCAAAATTCAGAGGAATTGGCTTTTTTTAAATCCACAAGATGGAATTTGAATTTAATTGAATCTAGCATTCTATCCATCCATCCATGATTCTATATATCTTTGTCAGTCCATCCCTCCATCCATCCATTAGTCTTTCATACAGTATATATAAGACCATATAAACCTTTAAACTTCAAATCTTGATAAACCTTTAAAGAAGGCATTCTAAATTTGATTCTGAATGGTTTGCGATCCTGGCTGATACAATCCTGTATCTCATAATGCTTTAAGCAATCAAGGTTGTATCGCCTGAAAACCTTTGTTGAAATTCTCGTGTGAAACATTTCCATGACATGTTGCACCAATTCATTTTCAGCCAATCTAATTACTTCTTTAATTCCAGTTTGACAGTTAATTGCATTTCCATTCCAATGCAATGTAAAGAACATCAGTGTCATTAAGAGTTCATTGGCATTTGATGTAGCATTTACGGCGGTAAATTCGACAGGTACGAACGTGATTTTCAAAACATGATTACATAAACAGTCATCTTGGCCATTGCAGTGGGAGTGTTTGCTGTAATTGGGTGCCATTCTGAGGTTCCTCTCAACATTGATCCAGCCCCAAAACAATCACCCAGCGGCCATCGCACAATTAGCATGCAAATTAAGGGCCATTCGTTGCCACGTCGACATCAATCGGCTCTCATTTTCCGAGGCGTCACTCCACTGAGCCGACTGTGCAAGCTAAAATACAGAGGGAGAGAGCGCGAGGGAGCAGTCATCCATACACTCGTAAAGCATGTGTCTGTTCAATGACAAGCAAAAATTTTGCTCCGATCAAATCTGGTCTCCTTCCCCCACTATGCTTTGATCCACTGTCTTTGTTATATTTATAGATAGATAGATAGATAGATAGATATAGAATATTTCAACTGCTTTTGTCCATTTAATGAAAGTCAATGAGGTACCAAAAAAAACAAAAAAACACTTGACTACATTTACTTTCATTGCATGGACAAAATTACTTTTTTTTTAGTGAACTATATAGTATAGTTGGTGAGGAAATA